CAACAAACAACAACATGAACAACAGATGTAAATCTAGTCCTATCCTGTGTTCTCACTATACCTGTAGCCTTCATTTTGTCAATCCATCGCACTAAGCTTCTTCGTCTCTTTGTTGATCCTCCGACATTTCCAAGCATGATGTCCTTTCCTAAGGAACAACCCCTCATAAACATGCCCTAGGGAGCTCTGTTGGCTTAGTGGTAAGAAATTTCACTTCCAACTCAAAGGCTGTTACTGTTATATGCCGAGATTGTCCGTCTTTTTTGCAGAGTAGCTGGTAGATAAGAATCCTGTGCGTTTAAGTTTGCAGTGCAGCGTCTTACCAACCTAAAGATATACTTTTTAAATCTATCAGCTGCTTCAAAGGAGCACTCTTCTCTGACAGCATAACTCAAAGGTATCCATTTTTTTTTTCTGCCAGCCTATTCACCGTTCAGATCTTAGATGCACAGCAAGTGAATGAAAAGACCATGACCTGAATCAGACGGCACCTTTAGTTTATAAAATGGCATCATTATTCCTCAATAATTTGAAGAGGTCCTTAACAGCAGACTTTTCCACTGCAACATATCTTTTGATTTCTTGTCTGCTAGTGACAAGGTTATTGATTATGGATCTCAGTAAGACAAAATAATTGAAAATAGTTTCAATCTTTTCTCCATTTATCTTTACGTTGCTTATCAGACCAGTGAAGAGGAATTTTGTCTTCTTGATGTTGAGATGTAATTCACATTGGAGGATGTATAAAATAAGAAGAGAAAAATCTGGTATTTCTCAAGCTTAAAGAACTGAAAAACAATTTCAAACCTTCATTTGCAATACAGAGAGATGGTATGAGCAAAATAATCAATGATCTAGGAAGCATCAAAAGAAGACAGAGGGACACAGTCACTGTACCAAAAAGAATTGGTCGATTCTGTAATATTTCAGAAAAGAACATATGAACAACATTCAATGGTAATGAAAGAAAAAGAGTTCAAGTTGTACTGAAAGAACTGGCAAAAAACAGTCCCAAGAATTGATGAGACATTAAGGCAGTGAATGTGAATGTGAGTGGAATACTGAGAAAAAGAGGGTGAGAGTGGTTGCATAATGCAAAGATAAAATCCTCAAAATGTATTGTCTATATACAATTGTCTGAAAGATGATGTCTGTTCTGCTGAATAGATTCTAAACAGAAACAAAAAAAGTAAATCACACACACTAAATAGTTAACATAGCATTTTTTGTTGTATGCATTTTACCATAATAAAAAAGTTTTGTCATAGTGTTTGACACTGTGAAAGGAAATAAGAAAGGAAGAAAGATATCTATAAACAAATAATTGACAAGAAACCTAAAACACAGGAAGATTCAAAGTAAAATGATGGCCAAAATGTTTGAAGCAAATAAAGGTAGAGGCAATGATTTTTAAAAAAACAAGATAGAAGATGGTTTCTAGGAAAAGCGTAATTAAAGACACAGTGATCACTAGTATGGTTCAAAGTATGTAACTTACTAGGACGGCATACAATTCTAAGTATTTTAGCCTCAGTGTTGTAGTACTAGGTACACTTTTGCCAACATGAGATGGATCTTGGTACAAAGCAGAGTACCAACGAAATGTCTGTGCTTTATTGACTACGTTAAGGCATCTGACTGTGTGGATCACAACAAATTGTAGCTAACTTTGAGGAAAACCAGAATCCATACAAGAATCCATACCGAGAACACTTGACTATGCTCATGCAAAACCTAAACTCAGACCAGGAAGCAGTCCTCAGAACAGCGTAAGGAAAAACTGCACAGTTCAAAATCAGGACCTAAGTGTCTCAGGGATGTGTCCTGTCTCCAAGTTTTCTCAATCTATAGGAAGAACAAACCATTCAGGAGACTGCACTTCATAAGGAGGAATGTGGCATCAGCAACACTCCTGGCACCAGCTGTCAGGAAAATAAAAAGATTAATTGGATGGGGAAAATTTGCAGCCAGGGAACTATCTCTCCAGAGTACTCAAACAATGGTGTCAGTCTAGAGACTAAGACGTGCTTGATACAGGCTATGGTCTTAGCAATTACATGTTAAGAGAACTGGAAAAGGACTAAGGATGACAGAAGAACTGATGCCTTTTGAGTTGTGGTGCTGGAGAAGATACCATGAACATACCATGGACTGCCATAAGAACCAAAAAGTCTGTCTTGGAGAGGGTGCAACCAAGTTGCTCCTTAGAGACTAGGATTTTGAAACTCCATCTGACATGCTTTGGGCACATGGCCAGGATAGTACAGTCTATGGAGAAGGGCATCATGCTCAGCAGGGTGGAGAGACAAACAGCACAGGGGAGGAAGACCCGAGATAAGAGAAAGTGACACTGTAACTACTGGGTTAATGGGGGTAGGTGTGTTGGTCAGTGAGATCGGTTCAGGACAGCACAGGTTTAAGAGCTGTTGTACATAGGGTCATTATGAACTGCAGGTGAATCAATGACACATAACAAGAACAATAGCCTCAAAATACAGAAAACAAGGTATTAAAACAAAGGGGGAAAGAAATGAATTTAACAAAATTTCAGTATACTTTGTAATCATTAACGGTCCATCAAAGTGAAAAAGACTGAGAAAAATTGTATATCCCTAAGTAAGTTAGATTTGCTGAGTCCATATTTTGCCATAATGTTAGTTTCAATTAATTTACAAAAATAAGTAACATACAGAATATGCTCTCTGCTAAGAGTATCATTAAATGAGAGATTTACATATATAAACACACACACACTGCACAAGGCCTTAAATTCCCTAACCTGCTACTGTAATCTCTAAGGTTTTTATTTTCATTTTAGTTCTTTTTAAACTTTATTTATTAATCATTCCACATTCCCCGCCTTTTTTCTGCCCCCCCTCAGCCTACCTTGCAATGCACTCCTTGTTCCAGATTATTCTATACATACAATGAATAATCATTTATTTTTTTAGTAAGTTCTTCCCCTCATCTGTTCTACTGCAGTGTTCATTATCTATCCAATCTTTCCCCAGTCCCTCCCCGCCCTGACCCCTATCCTATTTTTTCATCAGCTGTATTATGCAGTATTTGTTCTTTTGTGACTGAGGTATTTCACTTGGCAAAATGTCCTCATGGCTCACCCATGTTATATAATGTTTTACTATTCCATTATTTTTCAATGCTGTGTAGTATTCCATTGTGTATCACAGTTTTTTATCCATTCATTTATTGATGGGCACTAGGGTTGCCCCCACTCCTTTGCTACTGTGAGTAATGAAGCCATAAACATGGATGTACAATCTTTAAATTCCAACATGTGGTATGTTTATTTGATCTATGAGTTAGGAAAAATAGAAAATTTTCAGATGTAGAAAAATGTTTATACACACAAAAACACACATGTTCGTTGCTGTTGAGTCTCACAGCTGACCCTCCAGCAGGTTTTCAAAGACTGTAATTGCACAAAAGGAGACTGACTGCCCATCTTTCTCCCATGCAGCAGCTGGTAGATTTAAATTGTCTGCCTGTGGGTTGGCAGCACAACTCGTTATCAATTAGACCACCAGAGCTTCCACAGAGCTCCTATGCATATGCATGTGTACACACACACTGTTGTTGTTGTTATCTATTGCCTTCAAGTCAAGCAGAACTCATAGGGAACCTATGAACAAAAGGCCTGAAGCCCCTCTATTTCTATTGATATTTATCAAAGTTCATACAGTTTCTGGAGGCAGGTTATTTAGAAAGTGGATTCCACTTCTGCTGTATTAGGTGTAAATTTCATATATTGTATATAATCTGACAAAAAATTGGTCATAATTTATCAAATATACATAAATTACTTAAAATTAAGTTTTAAGAGACTAAGTTAATATTTTAACGAAAAGTACAAGTTTATTAAGAATGTAAAATCAAGGTTAGGTTTATGCATGAAGTAAACTGTAGCCTTTTGATATACACATACACCAAAACAAAACCTGCCACCAACTACATTCTGACCCATAGTGATGATTTAGGGTAGAACTTCCCTATAAGTTTTCCAAGGCTGCAAATATATACAAAAGGAGGTGGTCAGATTTTTCTCTTGGAGTAGGCAATAATTGGGATCATACAGTTAGACCTTATTTTTTACTTCTTTCACTCAGCATAATGTTTTCAAGGTTTATACATTTTATAGCATGCACCAGAATGTCATTTCTCTTTATGACTGACTAGGATTCCATTGTACATATATACAAGATTGTTATGAAAATTCTGTTTTATCTGATGCTGCTGTTATTATGTACCACTGAGTATGAATCAATTAATACCTGACCATTCAGCAGATTTTCAAAGGCAGTAAACTGTATGGGAATTGACTGCCCTTTTAAAATTGTTGCTATTATGTGTCATCAAGTCGCCTGTGAGGCATAGCAACCCTATGTCAGTAGCTCTGAACCTGAGCCAGTCTCACCAGTTCCAACACACCAACCCCCATTGCCCTAGTCATTGTATTGATCCATTTCATCCAAGGTCTTCCTCTCACGTGCTGTCTCTCTACCTGTCCAAGCATGATGTCCTTCTCTAAGGACTGGTCTCTCCTGGACACATATCCAGAGTATGTGAGACGGAGCATCAAAATCCTAGACTCCAAGGAGAAACTTGGTTTCACCCTCTCCAACACAAACCTATTTGTTTCCCTGGCTGTCCATGGCTATGTTCAGTATGCTTCTCCAGCATCCCAGTTCAAAAGCATCAATTCTTCTCTCATCTTTAGTCACTGTCCATGTCTCTGATGGATAAAGCCTGGATCAGGAGCACCTTAGTCTCTAGACTGATACCATTCTCAGTACTCTGGAGATGTCCGTGACAGCAGATTTTCCCAGTGCAACTCCTCTTTTGATTTCTTGAATGCTGGTGCCAAAAGGGCTGATTGTGGAGCTGAGCAAATGGAAATTGTTAACAACCTCAATCTCTTCTGCATCCATCATGATACTGCCAGCTGGGTCAGTGGTGAGAATCTTTGTCTTCTTGATGTTGATGTTGACATGAAATCCATACTGAAGACCAGAGTCCTCGACTGACATAGCACTTTCTATCTATTGGCTACTATGAATAATACAGCTATTAACACTGGTGTGCTAGTATTTGATTGAGTTCCATTTTCAGATATTGTAGGTATGTATATATACATGGAATTGCTAAGTCAGATATTGATTCTACATAAAAATTTTTGCTTTTAAATAAAATCTTATTTTAGTTGTGATTTAAACAAACATTTTACAGAGAAGTTAGATTTTTATTCATTTTTTGTTGCACAGTTTACCCCCTTGCCCTCCTTTCCTGGCCCCACCAGTTCATTTTTTTAAAAAATATTCATTTATTGTTGCATAATTACCTACCTCCCCACCCCCAGGTCCTCTCTGCAATGATATATCTTTTATTCTGGGCTGTTGTCATGTCTATAATGTCTAATCATATATTTATTTTAGACAGTTCTTTCTTTCAGCTGTTCCAATGCAATGGTAAAACAGATATATACACACTCATGTTTACTGTTAGGTTATTTACAAAAGCAAAGAGATGGAAGGGACTCATGTGCCCATCAACAAATGAATGGAGAGAAAAACAATGGTATATTCATACAATAGAATACTACGCAGCACTAAAAAACAATGCACTTACAAAATATGATACAACATGGTGGGCTTTGGAGCACATCACACTGAGTCAAATATTTCAGTCACTAAAGGACAAATACTGCACAGCACCACTATTTCAAAGCAGGTGTGACATGGGGAGTTGGGAGGAGAATAGAATACATGTAACTTTTTAAAGAAACACCAACTTTATACAGACGATACCGTCAGAACTCTCAATACACAGAATATGATGGTGATAAAGAGTAGAAACAACTTCTTTGGACTTTTGAATGCTGCTAGTGTCATGACAGATAGTAAAGAGATTGATATTATTAACATTAGTTTGCTCAGCTCTACAATTAACACTCTGGGTACCAGTAGCCAAGAAATCAAAAGACGAATTCCATTGAGAAAATCTGCTGTCAGGGACTTCTCTAGAGTACTGAAGAGCAATGTTGTTAATCTGGAGAATAAGGTGTGCCTGATCCAGGCCATGGCCTTCACAATTACTTGCAATGTATCAGAAAATTAGACAATGACTAAGTATGATAAAAGGAGAACTTATGTCTTTGAGTTGTGGTGCTGGAGAGGAGTATTTAATATACCATAGACTGCTTGGAGAACAAACAGGTCCATCCTGGAGAGGGGAAAAACAGGCTGCTCCTTGGAGTCAAGGATTCTGAAGCTCCTTCTGACATACTCTGGGCATGTTGCAAGGAGAGACCAGTTTTTGGAGAGGGACATCCTGCTTGGAGAGGTGGAAGGACTGTGCAAGAAAGGAAGACCTTGGATGAGATGGACTGACTCAGTGACTTCGGTAATAGGGGTTGAGAGAAGACAGAAAATGAGTGGAGGAATGATGTATATTGCATTGAAAAAGAAGAAAGAAAGATCTGTTTAAAAAGGGATATATGAATGGGTACTCTTGTCCTTACAGAAGTCTGGAGTGAAGGCTGTATAGTGAAATGAACTTGGGGGTAGGGATTGAATAACACTGAAAGAGTTTTCTTTTTCTTTTCAAGGAGAGGAGTGATTTGGGGGAACGGGGTAGGCAGGGAGAAAAGTACAAAAAAATGAATGACTGGAAATCCTAAGTCTCTGTAAACTTTCATTAAAATTAAATTTTTTAAATAAAATTAAGAAGGGAGTGTGTCAGGATAGTACTCTCTACATACCTATTCAATATCTATCTTGAACAAATTATTTAAGAAGCTGAACTCTATGAAGAATGTGGCATCAAGACTGGAGGAAGACTCATCAATAACGTATGTCATGCAGATGACCCAACCTTTCTTGCTCAAAGTGAGGAGGACTTGAGGCACTTGTTACAGATGATCAAAGAATACAGCCTTCAATATGGACGGCATCTCAATATCAAGAAAACAAAATTTTTTACCACAGATTGATAGGCAACATCATGTTATATGGAGAAAATACTAAAACCGTCAACAACTTTGTTTTGCTTGGATCCATAATCAACACAGTTTGTACCAGCAGTCAGGAAATCAGAAGGCATATTTATTTGACTGGGAAAGTCTGAAGTTAGGTACCTCTCCAAATCACTGAGGGGCAATGATGTCAGTTTGAGGACTATAGTGTGTCTGATTCAGGCCATGGTCTTTCTGATGACTTGTTATGCATCTCAAAGCTAGACAATAAATGGATGACAGAAGAACTGATGGCTTTGAGCTGTGATGTTGGAAAAGAATAATGAACATTGCAGGGACTGCCAATAAACAAATATTTCTTGGAGAAATTGCAGCCATAGTGCTCTTTGGTGGCAAAGATGATAAAGCTGTGCCTAACATAATTCAAGCATGTTGCTAGGAAAGGGACAGGCAAGACAAGGAAAGGCAAATGGTCAGCGAAGTAGAGGAAGATCTCCAAACAGAGAGACTGACATGATGACTACCACAATGGGCTCCTGTGTGTCAGGAAGTGTGAGGATGACACAGGACAGTACAGGGTTCAAATATGTTGTTCACAGGGTCGCTATGTGTCATATTTGACTTGTTGACACCTAATAATAACAACATTCAAAGTAGATTATAATGTAATATAAAGATGAAATGTTCTTAAATTAAGCCATTGGAAAATAATTCTACTAACTGGTTGTTGTTGTTGTTATGTGCCATCGAGTTGTTTACGACTCATAGTGACCCTATGTAAAAGAGCTCTAAACGCTGTTTTCTCCTGTGCCAACCTAGCCATATCAAACGCACTTATTCCCACCGCTCTAGTCACAGAATCGATCCATCTCATCAAAGGTCTTCCTCTCCTTCACCACCCCTCCACTCTGCCAAACATGATGTCCCTCTCCAAGGTCCAGTCCCTTCTTGCAACATGCCCAAAATACGTCAGACGAAGCTTCAGAATCCTTGACTCCAAAGAGCATTCCAACTTCACCTTCTCCAGGACAAACCTGTTTGTTCTCCTAACAGTCCATGGCATATTCAACACTCTTCTCCAGCACCACAGCTCAAAGGGATCAATTCTCTATCATCCCTAGTCACTGTCCAACTTTCTGATGCATAGCACATAACTGCAAAGACTAGAGCCTGGATCAGGCGCACCTTAGTCGCCAGCCTGACATCGTTGCTCTTCAGTACTCTTGAGAGGTCCCTCACAGCCGACTTACCCAATGCAATTCGTCTCTTGATTTCCTGGCTGCTGTTACCAAGAGTGTTGATTGTGGAGCCAAGCAAACTAAAACTGTTAACTATCTCAATCTCTTCACCATCCATACTGATGCTGTCAATTGGCCCAGTGGTGAGAATCTTTGTTTTCTTGATGTTGAGCTTCAACCCATATAGGAGGCTGCAGTCCTTGACCTTCTTCAGCAAGCGCTCAGGTCCTCCTCAGTTTCAGCAAGCAGGGTTGTGTCATCTGCATAACGCAGGTTGTTGATGACTCTTCCACCAATCCTGATGCCACATTCCTCTTCGTACAGCCCAATGTCTCAGATGATCTGTTCTGCATACAGATTGAAAAGGTATGGAGACAGAATACATCCCTGACGGACCCCCTTCTTGCTTTTGAACCATGTAGTGTTTCCTTGCTCTGTTCTGACGACTGCCTCTTGGTCCAAGTATAGGTTTCGCATAAGCACAATCAAATGTTCTAGGATTCCCATTCTTCTCAGAGTCAGCCACAGCTTGTTGTGATCTACACAGTCAAAAGCCTTTGCATAGTCAATGAAGCACAGATAGACATTCTTTGGGTATTCTTTGATTTCTGCCAAGATCCATCTAACATTAGCTATAATATCCCTAGTACCACGACCTCTTCTAAATCCAGCCTGTACATCTGGCACTTCTCTGTTGACATATTGCTCCAAATGTTTTTGGGTAATTTTCAGCAGAATCTTGCTTGCATGTGATATTAATGATATTGTTCGATAATTTCCGCACTCTGTTGGGTCACCTTTCTTCGGAATGGGAATAAATATCGATCTTTTCCAGTCAGTGGGCCAGCTGGCTGTTCTCCAGATTTCTTGGCACAACTTAGTAAGCACATCCAGGGCAGTGTCTGTCTTTTGAAATATTTCAGTTGGTATGCTGTCAATACCTGGAGCCTTATTTTTGCCAGTTCCTTCAGAGAAATTTGAACTTCCTCCTTCATCACCATAGGCTCTTGCTCATATGTCATTTCATGAAATTCTTCTGTGTCAGCCAATTCCTTCTGATACAGTGACTGTGTATTCCTTCCATGTTCTCTTGATACTTCCTGGATCATTTAACATTCTACCCAAAGTATCATTAAGTATTGCCACCCGTGGCTTGAATTCGTTTTTCAGCCCCTTCACGCTAAGCGAGTTCGGTCCTTTTGATTTTCTGACTCCAGCTCTCTGCACATTTCATTATAATATCTTGCTTTGTCATCCCGGGAAGGATTGGCCATCCACTTCCGAAAATACAGGCCTTTGAAACCCTATGTACAATAGAGCACACTTAGACTATCACTTGGACTAGCAGACATGGCAATTGAGACTGAGATCTTAGAAACAGAAATACAGAGAAGGAACAGCTGTAAGCAGACACTAGTGATTGGAACGTGGAACATGAGAAGCATGAATGTAGGAAAATTGGACATTGTTAAGAGAGAAATGTGACATACTAGGTATTGGCGAAATGAGATTGCTTGGCATGGGACGTTTTGAATCAGACGATTATATGATTTACTATGCCGGGGATGAAATGTGAGGAAGAATGGGGTTGGTTTCATAATTAAAAAAACTGGTTATACAACTTAAAATTTAATCAAAAGATTTTATGTTTTCAGTCAGTAGGTTTTCTTTTCACTCTGTTGGAAGAAGTTTTTTATGAACACAGAGATTCAATTTTTAGAAGGTCCCATTCATCAAT